CAGGATTCGGCTAGAAACGATTTTCGTGTCCGGGAATTCCCACGGACGGCAAGAATTATTCGCAGAGAAATATTCGATGTAAATTTGAGACGGACAAGAACGGCGAATCGACAAACGCGTTAGCGCGCAATTGCGTGCCGCGAAAAAGTAGAAGAGAACACGCGCGTCGTGCCGTAATTCGTCGTCGTAGGTAACTAGCGATATCGTGAAAAAATAAAAATTTCATGCAACGAGACACGGCGCGGCACGGCTGCGAGAATTAATCACGAAATAGCAGGGAATCGAGGAGAGGAGTGCCGATGAACATATTTCTAAACGGGAGCGAGAAAAATCCGTGCGAGGAACGCGAACGCTCGTAATTAATTGCATCGGCCGCGTCTACCGCACTCGTACACGCATACTTGTATTTTTGTACGTACGCGAGGAAAACACGAGTGCGCTAGATTAGATCAAGCGTTTTGCTAGTTTTTTTCCGCACGGCCTCTGACGTTATCTCTCTCGGTTTTTCGGTTGGTACCGCGCGCCAATTTTCCTTATCTTCTCTACGCTCATCGTAAACGCGATTCTCTTTTAATTCACGCGCGGCTCGAATTTAACCAGGAGTAAGCCAGAAATCGAGTTGTATCCCGTCCTATCCCAAGTTTTTACATTTTTATCCACTCGCACCTACCACGTACGCCCGACTCGTATATCGACCGCACATACACATCGCACACTCCGTAAGTCGTTAACAGCGATGAGTACTTGTCTATACATATGGTGTATGAACAATCGAAATACACTTCAAGTTAGCTCGAACTATCTTTATTAAATTACTAAATAATCTAGCACGTGCACAGCGCGTTGTGTGCGTTTCATCGATCTGTTGTAGACTCACACCAATCGTTTAGTACTGATCTGTCGGTATTGTTGCCGCGCTTCGCAACACATCACAATTTATATTTATTTTCGAACAAAATACAATTAGTTGAATGCACTTATTCAGTTGGGTGACAAATACCCTGCGTACCTGCATCATCCCTCGCGGAATACTAAAACGGGCGTACGTAAACACGTCCGGTAGCGCGGAAATCGCGTCAAGTTTTCTGCCGTCACGTCGGCCACGTGAGAAAGCAAGATTATCGGACTAACAAATCGAGATTTCGAATAGTAAGGCCCGCTCACCGTGCAGTTACTGAGAATTCGAAAATAAAACCGAACACCCCGTTTGAATCGCGGCTCGACGAGCTACCGGATTACCATAATGCCGAAGCTTTTCTTCTTATCCGGCACTTTTCGAGCGACAGTCGCAGAAACTTTGAGAAAATGCAGAAAAGGCCGCCGCTGCCGCCGCCGCCATTGCGAGGGTAGCAAAGTAAAAAGGGAAAGAAGCGGGATGAAAAAAAAAAAGAGGCGGAAGATCGAGGCTCTCCTCTGCCTCGGCCTTGTTTCAGCCTTCGTAATCCGTTTCCGTTTCTGCCGTTCCTCGCCTGGTCGGACCGACACAACGCGATGGCCCGCGACGACGAGAGAAGAAAGATCGCGAGCTACGTCGAGACTAAACTTCTTCTACCCGCGCGTTGGATGCCTTTTGATAAATGGCGAATAAACGGAATTCTCTTTGCCGAGAAAATTCCTCCCGTAATGTAGCTTGCAACGGCAATCGTGCTCGTCGTTTTGGTCTATCATCGTCTCTAGCGTCTATGCTGGTAATTTGCAAAAAGCTGGTAGCAAACGCGTTTTGTGCCCCGGTCGCGGTCGGTTCGGATGAACGATCGAAAAAACTCGGAAGCTCGAAAGACGTCGGGGGGGACCAACGAGTAAAATTTCATTTTAGCGACCGATTTTCCGCGAAGGTCGCTAATCGACGAAGGAGCAGCGATGCGAATCTTAAGAACAGGTTCCATCTTCTTACCTAGCCGGGTCCGCTGAAATTCGTTTAACCCGCGGTACCCTAAGTACGACGCGCATACGTCCTTACCGAGGTAAAAGTTCTACTCGTTACCGTTACCGGAATCAACCTTTGCCTTCCAGCAGTTTAACTCGGTCGTCAGGATTTCTCGGTTCCGAAAGAGAGACGGTAGCTAGTAGTGCCTTCGTTTTTTCTTTTTTAATCCGGGTAACTCTCGCGCGGTAACTCGTCTACGCTAATTCCGTCTCGTGTAGTCCCTTAATTAAAAGCGGAAATGACGTCTGGACGTGGCGGTGCGAGGGCGAAGGCAAAAAAATAGCTCGAGCCCTGACTTGGCGGTCGTCAACCACGAAATTACTTAACCGAGTGAATCGGCCGACTGTTAACCGGCTAGACCGGCAAGACCGAGGTTTCTTCGATCAAATTAAAACAGGGGAGTACGACGCGTTTAATTACGCCTAGACTCGTCGACCACGACCCTACTTCTGGTTTCACCTTATTCGGCTCGACGAGTCCCGCGCAAACTCTATCTTCCGTTCGTGTCGTCTTTTTCGATCGGTACGGTGACCGATACAGTTTCGGCAAAGGAAATCACGTAATTCCAAATACGTACGATGAGATCTGCCAACGATGGGAAGAACGAGTATAAAAGGTGAAGATGATACGATAATGTTAACGTACGAGATAAAATTAACGCAATGTCGTTCGATCGATAATTGGCGCATACACGAATTCGCTGAGGATAAGATTGCACGCGTGCACGCGTTTAACCGCAATTTAGTCGAGGCGGGAGTGCCATTCGATTATCAGGTTACTATGTTCACTGCTACTAACGAGCTCGTCGTTCAGCCTCCCTCTCGTCATTGACTAAGGACTTTGGACGAGTATCCGATCCGCGTTGACTGTGCATGCGCTGTTTTCAGGTTTATACCTGTCCTTACGATACGTGCATCTGATTGTCTACAGAGAGATCGAACCGTTCATTCTTTCCAGGGAGAACAATTTCAATTAATTATGTATTTAGCTTTTCCTCCCCGCATCGATCGTTAACGAGTTCCCCAGCGGAGCGTGAGTCGCGACGCTTTAAGCTTCCGTAACGAGCAGTCTTCCGCCTCGTTCAGTTTTCATTCGTTCTCCGTGCAAGTCGTAGTCTCGCTCGCAACCCTTTTACGCTACTCACGCATACGTAGATACGCGTCGTACGTACGTATATACCGCGAGTGCACGATCGCCCACTTTATTTTACGGATAACAGTTTGTTCGTTCTGCGAGGTTTTTTCCTTATCCCTTCCTCAGGAAGCCATTAAACTGGAATATATTGCAAATATCTGATACAGGTAAACCTATCCGTAGAAACGTATCGAAATTTTGTTCGATCGGTATCCCGGAATTTACTTCCGGACCTGCGATTCGTCGTTTCTAATGGAAACGGACGGGGATGAAATTCTTGCCGTTACTCCCTGTTCGGTGAGGAACCGCCTAGCGTCGTCGTCGCGTCGAACCAGATTCTGAACGAGACCAAAGAGAGAAAACCAGCTCCGTTCGTTCCATGCGTATCCGGAAGATCCGATTTATTCGCGACGCGACGTATAATCCGTTCGTTCGATAGACGGGATATCGTTCGAGCAATGACCAGCCCTCGCGGTCTACTCTGTCTCCACGCAAAGTATACTTATGACGAGAATATTCTCGCGTCCGTTGGTTCGTGGTTTGCGGAACAGGAGCCCCGCCTTCTTCAGTAAAGCTTGTTCGCGGTAGCACGTTAAAGCGAATGGATGGACGATTTAAAGCGATGCGAGCATTACGCGCGGTATAAAAGTGTCGCGAAGTGTTGGGACAACAGTTTGGATAATGAAAAACACAAGCGAACGGATTCGCTCGTTAATTAATCGTCGCCGGTTTGCACCACCACGCCACGGGACGGCGGCGACGCGTTGCGAATTGAAGAAGCGTTCGGATGTGAAATTTTGGGGCAAAAGAGCCTTGTATTCGCGGAGTAAAATTCCCTTTTATTCTATCCATCCGGTCGCGGGAAGCGTCTGCTCTCTCTACTCCGTTTCAGTCGCGCACGACCACCTAAATCGATCCGCGATCCCACGTCTGACCGAAACCGACCCTCTGCGATGGATCCGCGGCTCGCGTTCCATCGCGGTTCAATCGTTTTTTCCTCGCTGCACTGGTCAAAGTGGATCTCTGAAACTGGAACCAGTCCGATGCGTGCGCGTTCGCATTCGAAACTTTTCATTTCCTCTTTTTCCTTTTATTTCGATGGCCACGCAACCGAGTCGCGACTCGATTACGTCAGCTTTAATTCGCGTTCGCGCATGCAGACTGCGGCTAATTTCCGCGCGTTCGTACCTCTGATTTTCCGCTATTTTCTTTCGTTCTGCGAAACGAGACGAGAGCCTCAGCTGTCCCGCGGACGAACGTAGACCTCGGGCGATGGCGCAAAACGCTGTAACGAGGCAACGGCTGGTTTTCATTGCGAAAAGCCAACGATTCCTCGTAGCCGAGGGGGGTAGACTGGTCGATGGGCGAAAACGAGGACTGAACGAACGAAATGGGTAAATATAAGCAGTCCCGGAGAATCTTCGGAGCCCAAAGCCTTATAATTTATGGCGGTCCTTTAATATCAAGACGCTTCCTCGGTGCGGCGTGCTAGAATTTCTGTCGAGTTACACACACAAACGACGGTGTGCCAGCGGAAGGAACGGGGGTAGAAGAGAGAGACAGACCGAATGAAGGAAAGGGTCGTGATACGACCGATGCGGAGAAAGATGGGGAGAAAGAGGTCGTCGGAAAGAGAGGGGGCTAGAGAAAATCTGGAGGCGTCTAGAAATATCTAGGTAAGCGAAAACAGGATCGAGGAAAGGGGAGTCGAAAAGAAAGCACGTTTAAGCGAGGAATGGAAATGCCGGATTGGCGGACGGCGACGATAGACGAGACGAGACGAGGCGAGGCGAGCGCGTCGAGAACGAGCAGCTACTCGTCCTGTGAATTTTGAAAACGCTTCTCGGTTAAATCTCGACGAAGCGAGAAACGGCGGCGGCGGCGGCGGTGGATCCGCTGCGGCAAAGAACGAACAATAACAGAGGTACTTTCTCCTTTCGTTAGCTTTACGTCGTCGCGAGTATTCGGGGAGGAAATTGGCGAGTCGGGCAGGAGATCGAATCGAATAACACGCTCGGTTTGTCGAGCGGATGTGTTTTTTATTTAAATCGTCCTTATCTTCCGATCGCAAAGCGAGATTTCAATCGCGGCCAGGGGCACACCTTCGTTCCACCGACGTACCGATAGAGACGAGTCGAAATTAAACAAAACGATCCTTTCGTCAAAGTACTGTAGCGTCGTGTCGTCGCGAACTTTGCTAATTACGTCCCGCGTAAACGTAGGACGGCAAAGTTTGACGTAAAAAATCGTAGGGCGGATCGGAGAAACGGGTGAAAGACGAGTGCGCGAAAGTTTCGAACGTACTATGGAAACGGATAAGCGAGATGGAACGGCTGCAAAACATTCGAATTTCGCGAAACGTCTGGATAATTCACCGGGACCAGATTTCTCGCGTATAAAAGAGTAGCGCGGCGAAGGTATACGAGGAAACGTACAAGTACCCACGCTAAAACAGAGTCCGCTCCGCTCCGCTCCGTGCACGTTCGTTGCATATGCAAATAAATGGTTCGTTGAAATACGCGAAACACGAAAGATACGTTTCCGCGATGTTCCTGTTCGTTTTCACATATCCGTTCATATCCTCTCTCCTTTCGTGAAATTGTTTCAATAACGATGAGAATCCCTCGAGAGTCGAGGGGCGTCCGAAAGTAGCCTTCGAATTTTTTATTTCAGGCGCGTCGACGGTTCGACAGGAATATATAGGGCTATTCGAGAATCGGAAAATTGCACTCTTACCGTCACTTCGTCACGCGTACCACTGTAATCGCAGGTATGATATTCTATGCGGCTGCATTACCGAGAAATGCGCAAATGGAATAGCGAAATTAAATTTTTAGTAGCGGATATTACGCTTAAAATTCGTTTCGTTTTTCGACGAAATTAAAGCGTTTCGCGTTTCACGTTGATGCTAATTATCGTATCGCCGTATACGGCATATCGTAGCGTACCGCGTAAACGTAGGTACGCTAATTCAATTCCCAGGTCGTTGGTAAGATCCCTGATAGCGGGAAAGAGGAACAAAGCAAGGAGGAGCATGGAAGTCGAGAACCGGAAACGACGTGCGGCGTCGTCGCATCCTTCGCGTTTCCACGGAGAAAATCCTTTCGGTTTCGCCTTGCCGATCTCAGTATCGTTACACGGAAACGAGGGGGGAAACGTTTGCTGGCTGTTCCGGTTACGCGATTTTTTTCATCTAAATTTCGTACTTCGGTGAGAGAAACGCCGACTGCTGCATGGACGATATCGGGAATACGGGACTCGCCCCGATCGCCCACGAGAACGAGGACAACGAACACGACGTCGGAAGAAGAAATAGAGAAGAGAAAAGAGAGACAAAGATAGTAGAGGAAAGAGATTTCTCTCGGTAAGGAACGCCGCCTCGTAGTTTTGTTTCTTTTCGTCGCTTCCTTCTTTCCGTCTTTGCCTTTTCGCTCGCGATGGGGGGAACGTCTTCGTTCGTCGACGAAGCGGACGTCTGGGCCGGAAGTTGAAACGGCTGCGTCCTGGAAAAATGGCGCCCTGGCGACGGAAATTGGTGCTTGCACCCTTTAATTCGAAGTTGATCGAGGAGATCGCGTCTATAAAGAATCGTAAAGGGGCCCGTGAAAGACGAAGCGATGCGACGCCTCGTACTTCGTCCGTGTCCAACCGGCAGCGCCGGGACTGAGAGGTCGTTCGACGAAGAATCTTAAAGTCGATATCGGTGGGGTCTTGTGTATTATGTGTGTATAGAGACATCGCGACGAAGCTTAAAGTGCAAAGATTGCACGGGGATTATCCAATCGTGGGAACGAGTTTGCGTACAAATAAGACGAAAGCGGTATGGTTTCGCGTAATCCAGCGTGGAATAGCGAGTTAGCGACGCAACCTCCCTTTGGAGTCGGACCCGTGGTCCGCTCGTGGACACAGAGGGATTAGCATAGGAATTACTTCCGGCCGGACGATAAAGCGCAAGCCAAACCTTCGAAGCTGGGACAACGAAGGTCGTTCCCTGCTTTCGGCGGAGAGTCGCGGAAAGGGATAGAGCGAGTCCGCTGTATTTCTAGTTTCCAGAGAGGAAATTGGCACGCGGTGCCACCCTCGACCTCTGCAGCCATCGCATCGAGGAGAACGGCTCGACCCTATATTACATTTCAATTCCGATCTTTCACCTTCGATCGCCGCGTACATGCACGACGCACGTATCTGTGTTTATACGCGACTCGAGTTTTGGCAAAGTGTTCCACGTGTGGTAATCTGATGGCCAAATATTTTTGATCGATATCGTAATCGCGTCGGTTATCAACATCGGCCTATTTTCTTCGCGCTTAGGCTTCGGAGATCGCAGATATAGAAATTAATATCTACTATCGCGGAACTTAATGCGACTGTATCGTAGATTTGTAAACGCAAAACAACCATTTTTTCTTAATAAATTTATATTCGGCGGAAATGATGTTTAACCCGTCCCGTTTTGTTGCGGTCACCCGTCGTAAATTAAAATTATGCCTGGTGGCAAAAAGCCTCTATCGTCGCTTTCTACTCGCCCGCGATCGTTCATCGCCGCCTCGAGATAGAACTGCTGCACAGGCACGAATAGGCGAATCTACATAGGTATAAAGTCAGCAGCCCGTCTTGCTTTATACCCACTGTCGGGCTGTTCCACCTTCCTACGTCTTCCTTCCGTCCCCTTATCACCGCTTATCTCCTTCCCGTTTCTCACTCAACCATATTCTTCCATAATACACGCCGGTACTCGTCTCCTCGTCTACGAGATCACGTCCTTAACGTTAAACTGTAAAAATGTTTTCGACTATTTCGTATTTTCTATATTTTCCTCGTCTTCCATTCTCCGTTAATTTCCCGTATAAATCATCGCCAAGTGTCCATTGTAATATATCATCGAACGCACGCGATCTTCATTTTAAACGTAAAGCAACGCGACGGTCTCGAGAGAATGCGCTCCTCTCCAATTAACCTCCGTTCTCTTTTTCTCTACCCGCAAACATACCGTCGGATTTTTAATTAATCTCAGCTAATTTCAACAAAGGAAGTTATTACGCGATCTTCGTTAATTAAGTAAAGACGTTGAAAATGAAGAAGAGATTTACGGTCGGGCGTAGCCACGGAGGACGCGGGGTCGAGTACGCGTTGTCGAACATCGAATATTTCGCGTCCCGTAAAAATGAGTTAATTTCGCTCTTTCACTCGGCGACTTCACACAACTCGGGTAGTTACGCACGCGTATTTAACGGCGCAACGTCGGTGAACAGGTACACGCCATGGTTATTGTTTGCGACGTTTCCTCCATCTACCTTGAGAGAACATTCACGAGTGGAAAATTGAATTCTTTCCCGCTCGTTCCTTTTAAGCACCCAATTAAGTGAGTTCAAAGAGACGAGGACGCCAGGGAGGGGAACGGAACCGTGTAGAGCGACGCTCGGCCGTGTAATCAGGGAAACGATCGAATTATAGTTTGCTCGCGTAAAGCCGATTGCTCACTCACGGGTAAATTATCTCGACGACGACGACGCGCGACTCTTGGCAACGAGTCCGTCCACGAACCTTTAATCGTTGACACCGATTAAACGGTTCCCTTCGCAAACACTGGCGACGGTTCCTCCGCGGAAACCGCAGGATCCGTGGTTACGGTGCCGAGAACCGACGAGGACGACGATCGACCGAAAATACCGAACAGGTAAAACGCACGCCTGATCTTTCGCTGTTCCTACGACGAATCGTACGATCGGGAAACTAGAAAGTATCCGCCTTTTTCCGTCGCCTTTTCTCTTTCGAGTACCTACAATTACAATTAGGAAAACGACGACCGTTTCCGAATCGCTTGACCGGTGACCTAACGACTTTCGTTCTCGGAGAATGATGATAAAAGAGGTACGAGGTGACGTAACGATTCGTTATCGACGCTACGGCGAGCAGCCGCTTTTATCCCCGTTTCGTTTCGCGAATATAGGAAACTGAAGTACGACCACCGGAATTAGTATCGGTTAGGCCGTAAACTATTAGTCGAGGAATTACGGCCGAGGAAAAAAGCGAAGCCGAGCGAATATTTGTATTCCATGGTAATTATTACCGGGACAATTTATCGCCGAGCGAGAAATTTGCGCTTTATTGGAGCCATGGGATGTTGGGGCTTACGAAAATTAATGGCGGGCCGAGTCACCCGGCCGGAAGATGAAGCGGAGAGCGATGAAAGCTACGGACTATCGCCAGAGCCTAGAGACTCTAGACTAGACTATAGACACAGACTCCGTATTCTAGACGCTCAAGTACTCTCACACACGTATACGTACAGACGCGCACAGACGACCACCTTCGATCCACGTAGTGGAACGAATATCAGTCTTGTATCTATAAAAAATGTCGTGAACGAACGAGAAAACGGACCAGACTTCAGTACTTGAACGGGGTAACGATCGGGTCGGGACAGAGACAGGGATACACACCTGTGGGCAAACGAATCTTAGATTTCCCGTAGGATTCTCACCGGCTCGACGTGATCTTTGCGAATCTTTCTTATTTTCATCGCGCGAATACTTCCCAGTTTCAATAATCGAATTCGATTCGAGTCAGCTTGCACGTTGACCGACTTCCACCCTACGTCTCGCCGAGCAATCGCAGAAGCCTTCGACGATCTCCAAACTTTGCCCGAAGAATTTTACCGTTCGTCGAACGGTATACCCCTGTTAAGAGGATTACCCCGGATCTTACTTTCTCGGCGACCCCCGAAACTCGATCCCCCGGGAAAGCGAGTCGAAGGATGCTCGATTAGCCACCGGTGGAACTCGTCCAAGATTTAATTGCGAAAACGTAATGATCGTATTAACGATAATGATCGAATAGTATATCCCGCGGCGCGGCTAATTTAATATTGGAACGAAATCGAGAAACCGATAACGAGTTAGCCAACAACGAGCGTGTATATCGTACACTTTCCGGTTTCCAAATCTTCGGACGTATCGCTTTCGACATCTCGTACACTCTTTATATCTCTCTCGTGCCCTATCGTTATCGAGCGTTATACGCGCAATCAGATGCCGACTTCAATTGCTATTCTAACGGACCCGATGAAAACTCGATCCGATGCGTGTCACGTCTGGAATGAGGCTTGTTCGAGACTCGGGGTCGAAGGCCTTCGATAAAAGCGAAGAGAACGCGGAGTTCGATGCGGGAAAAGTTGAGAAAGCGCGCGACGCTGAACCATGGATGCGACTCGGCTAACTACTAACGCATAGTGACGTAGTGCGATCTCGTGTTAGGTTACCGCATTCATAAATTGGTTAGAACTCTGGAACTAGGAGTCGTCCAGCGATGATCCAATTAAATACGAGTCGGCCCCGTAGTCGGTTACGGATTTTAGACATCCCCGTCGCAAAGTTTGCTTATTCCGCCCTGCGTACGTACACATGTGACCGTGACGCGAAATAGATTTCGTTTCTTCTAGTCGGACAGTGGAAACAGACACGCGTCTTAAGAGATAACTATTGTCGCGACAGCCGTAATTTTTATCTAACTACGACCACGCGATTGTTAACGAACCGAGCCCCTACAATTTTATTCCCTATTCTCGTTTCTCGTTCGTCCCATTGTTTGTTTTTCGTTCGTCGCATCGTCAAGTTCGGTTTCGGTTTCCTGGTTACTCGCAATAAAATATTTGATTAAGACAACCAAGACCGCGTATCGGTTATCGATATAGTGGTACCAGTTTAATTAAAACAACTCTCGCCCAATTCATTTGAAAAGCAAGTATTCGAGAGGATGCTATTTTTATAACATACCACGGAGACCGTAGAGACGTGTTTACACATATACGCGCATTCTCCAAATGTACTAATGACGATATCGTCAATCGTGATCGAATCACTTTTCTTACCCGATACGAAGTAACGGCGAACTCCTAGCGAGAATTTGTGTGTACATTCGAACGATTGCTGGTGGGAAAGTACGCTGATCAATGATTATCATTGTAATGTTCTTTCTCTCTCATTGCGCAACGTACACAAAAATACAAATCTGGAGGACCACGATAACGTTACGTAATAACCAAATCCCCAAGCAATGATTCGTACTTATTGTTAGATGCATATAAGTATATGTATTTAACGATAATCATAGGAGATTGATAATCTTAACGATCTTATCTCACGATGTACAATCGTATATAGCCGTCATCGACCGATCAGAGGCGATCAGTGGAAGCACAGAAGTGGCATTGGAAAACACCTATCTGATTGAACACTAAAGACGATCGTGTTTCGCGAATATAAACAGAAAAATGGTTAACGTGAAGACCGCGAAACGCGAGAAGGTAACTGAGAAGGTACGGAGATATCATGAGAACGCAAACCTACGACCGGTGTGAAAATAATTTGTACATCGCTGTTAAGCTGTACGAATGCTTTTTACACCGATTGTCTGTATAATACCTATACGAGAACTTCGTTTAGAAATTCGAGTTCGAGATCAAGGACAACATACTCGTCGGCGATGACCTGACGTATCCCGAAAATTACGACAATGTCGGGGAAATAATTCTCGAAATCTTGAGGAGCGAGCCGGATCATATCGGACAGGTACGGATACACGATCGAACTCGTTCAGCCTCGACGTTCCTGCTTAATTTATTTTTTACTCTGTCTCTTCCTCTGTCGCACGAACAATCGATCGTCAAGTAGATAGAGGCAACGACGGGAAAACAATCCACGTACAAAGAAATGTTGGACAAGAGCGTTAGATGCGCGATATGGTTGAGGAAAGCAGGGGTCAAACCAGGCGACGTGGTCGCGGTCTGCAGTTCTTGTTATTGCGAAAACTACATACCATTCTTGGCATGCCTATACATCGGTGCTCAATGCGCCATCGAATATCATCAATTACCTGCGCGTACGTCTATCTATACTGTACAACTTTAGCCGATTCCTCTCTTTAATTCTCCCCCGATAACAAAAACAGAGAGAAAATCATGCTTGTTATGCATTTTTAGGCACTTTCCGTCACTTTCTATCGATCGTAACGCCGAAAATAATATTCCTGCACGCTCACGCGCTAGACAATCTGATCAAAGCTCAAAACGAGACGTCTACGAATATCAGAAGGGTGATCTTCGAGGACCAAGTCCCCAACGAGGAATCCCTTGACGCGATTCTATCGGAACAAACGGTGGCCGAAATCGAGAAGTTTCGTTGCGAGGACATCGAGAATCCGAAACACGCTGCTCTATTGATCGGCACATCGGGATCGACGGGAGTGCCAAAAGTAGCGGAACTGTCTCATTTAGCGTTAAAGACGATGATGCATCCGGTTTACGCCAAGATTCCCGACAGGGTTTGGTTGTGCGTAGCCGGTATGCGATGGATCACCTACTTCTGGAACTTGTTGGGCGGGTTACGGTCAAACGCGACGCGGGTCATTGCCGAGGACGCTCAGAGCGCCAAATACTATTTAGAAATAATCCGAAAATATGAGGTGAGACAATCTGCATTGCGTATGTTCGGGAAATGAGAAACTATACTCGTGCATCGTCGCATTTCAGATAGAGTATTACGGTGCCGATACTAATCAACTGAGACAGATATATAAGCTCGGCTTGATAAACGATTACCGAGAGACAAAGCTGAAAACCCTCAGGTTCGGCGGCTCACCCTTTAGCCGCGATATTCACGAAACGTTAATTAAAGAGCTTCCGCAGATAAATACTCTCCAGGCGTACGGTACAGAAACGTTGTCATGTGCTACTATCTATGCGTAATTAAAATGCGCGAGCGTTTAGGATGAAAACGATACGTTTAAAACGAGATAGGCGTGGCGCGTTTTAGGATCGACCGACATCGGGAACGTCATCGTTGCACAGAAGCCGGGCAGCACGCCGGGCAGCTGTGGCTTCATCCGTCCCGGCATTAAACTAAAAGTGGTGTGCACGCAGACGGGGGTGGCTCTGGGTCCGAACAAACATGGCGAGATTTGCGTGAAGTCGAATACGCGGATAAATAAGTATCGAGGTAATCCCATAGCGACCAGGAATGCCATCGACTCCGAAGGTTCGTATCGAAACTCGGATGTTCCAGTACGAAAGCTCGGCATTTAAATGAAATAATTTGCCGTCTGTAGCTGCACAGACGACGCGAATAGTCAATTGTTCATGATCATCTGGTCGACAGGTTGGTTCCATATGGGCGACATCGGGTATTACGACGAAGTCGGGGAGTTGTACATAGTTGGCAGGACTTCGCAATTTATCAAATACAACGATTGTTGTTTATCCGTCTTGGAAATGGAAACCATTTTCGACATGCATCCAGACGTGTACAAAGCCGTAGTGATCCCAGTGCCGTCGGAGATCGAAGGAGAGCTTCCAGTCGCGGTTGTCGAAAAATTACCCGATAAAGAGGCAAGTATTCGCGCGTAGGATACGAAGTTCGATCTCCTCTTTACAATTTTAATCTCGATTCTCAGATAACGGAACACGAACTCCTAACTTACTTCAAGAAGAATATGCCAGAATTCTATATGCTGAAGAGCGTGAAATTCGTGAAGGAAATGCCACGCACGAGTACTGGGAAAATCGCGAGGAACGATTTGAAACAAATGTTATGCGTCGCGATGTAACGTTTACTCGAATCGTGTACGCATTTCACGTATCGACGTACCTAGGGACTGCACCACTATCGACTGTATTTACGATAATTATAATAATACGTATATACCTATAGCGTGCTTATAACTTATGTAATAAAATGAATTATATTTAACATGCAGTACATTTGTATTATGCACATCCTGTTTGTTCACTGTTTGTTTAAACGAATCAGCAGCTTTGGAAATATCAAATATTTTAATATTCTGCACTCATTTCTTTATGTAGCCGCGTTAATTGTGATGCATTACCTCATTTCGTCTCTACATTATTTAATCGTCCATTAAATGCTGCTTGTCAGGCCGAGGAACGACCAGCCAATTAAAACTTTAAACGCATGGAATAAAACGGTATGACTACGCGGAAAGATGGGTAACAAGAAAAATAGCCAAACTGCTAAGTTGGACGAGTCTTCGCGTATCTTTTCGCGAGATTTCAATAGCACGTTTGCTTTTCGCGCAGCCCTTGCGTTCGTTCGGTACGATTCTCTTTTTTTCTTCACATTTGCCTTTGCCGCTCTTTTCCCGTTCCCGTTCCTCAATAGATCCGCCCGAGTCCGGGAACTCGAAAGTCGGCAAACTTTCGAGACGATACTCTTCGCGAAAAAGTTTGGTCGTTCGCGAGTAAACCCGTACCGAACCGCGTCGTCGACCACTCGATCGACGAGCAATGCGTCAACGTTCCCAATGCGATTCTTAAAAACCTATTGGTATCTATCCGATGATCTCGTACGATACGCCCACCGGATTACCGCCTTTGGCCGTAGACCGAAGTCGTACATACGTGCATGTACATAAGTGTTTGCAGATAGTATATTATCGCAGGTGCCCCGTAGAAGACAAGTACAGTGCTGTTATAACTAATTATAGCCCAAACCAATTACTCCCATTATTCGCGAGAACGACGAGGAACTTTAGGCCGTGGCATCATTACGTTCCATATCCCTGACTTTGATCCTGTTCATATTCCCGACAGATATTTCCTCGTTCGCCATTCTCGGATTCTAACCACCACGAATCAGAACCTTGCCACGGAATTTAATTAGCTGCGTTTCACAATCCGGCTTATCATCAACCATTTCACCGGTTCCTTTTCTCGCGCGAAGATCGTTCGCGGCCGACCTGATCGATCCGAGACGGGCGACACGACGAAAGGACGCGGTCGGATCGGAATCCGAAAATTCGGATATCAATTTTTTTTTCAATATTCGATGGAACAGACCATCCGTGCATTCATTTTGAACTGCGAGCCGGTCGCCCGATCGGCTGGAGTGGGCTCGAACTCGGATCGATCCCGCGCATAAATATATCCGCGGATCGTAGATTGTAGATTGCAAATTCATGACACGAGCGAGAGACGAATATTACCGGCCGGATTTAGGCTATCGCTCTTCTGGCCCGGATAAAAAATGTTTCAAATATTTCGCGAGGTTATTGCCGCGCCGCGAGTACGTATAGGTGTAGATATCTAGCTACAGTACCTGCCATTCGCCTACGTACATACGACACGGATATCGAATCGAATCCGAGAGGAGAGTCGCGACGTAAATTATATCGGCTCGCGGATATTTGCGTTCGCTCCGAAGTAGTAAAAGGACATGCGTGGGAATTCGTCGTCGACTCGTCTTTGTTAACGCGTAATAAATTAGCCGTTATCACGAGGCAGCAGATGTCGGACGTCAGGAATATGATAAAAGAGTTTCGATTCAAAAAGAATCAAACGCAAAGGAGTTTTGTACTTGCGTTACTCCTGTAACTCATGCACGACGCACAATTCCTCTTCCTCATTCAGGCCCTGTCTATTTTTAAGTTCATGATTTTCGACAAGACGTAACATCAATATGAGAACGTAATACCTAGAGGATAACGAGTAACTTTTCGGTCCCGATAACTCCATATATATCGGAGGAATACAGCTCCGGGTGTAGGATTACACGATGTAATGAAACGATCCAAGACTAGAAACCACAGCGAAGCAACGGATCGGCCTATCTACCTATCCATCATCCACCCAGCTATTATATTATATGTATTTAGTTAGTTAGCCGTCTTGCAGCAGCTAACACTAACTAATTTCTATCGATGCCGTCGTTACTGTAACCCATCGTGTACGCGTACTCGCACCTACTATAGGCACCGCACTTGCCATAGTAATTACCTAATCCCTCGCTGATTTTCCTGTGCGGGAGTTTCCTTCATCCGAGATCCGCGTTTCTCTTTGACTCGAACTTCCAAGTCTGATTACGGGAGTCACACAATGAACATCCGGCGAACGCAAACTCTCGCGAATCGCTCGTTCCCTTCACTGATTCTCCTGCCCTCGCCGACGTCTCCCTCGCAAGACGAAACGCCCGTCGCGATTCGCTCCCTCCGGAAATTTTCGATATCGCCTCGCGTTTCATTCGTACAAACCTAATACAGTTGAAAATGAATCACGCGCCAATGTCTCCCGTTCTCTCAGTATTGCCCCATTACGCTCGATGCAAGACTTTTATTCTCTCGTTGCTAGTTCGTCGCTCGACGTCGCAGCGCGACCGTGTCCGCTCTCAAAGTCGATGTTTTTAAGCGTAACGAGGTGTAAGGGGACGCGCGAAAGTGGAATGAGTTAACGAGCCGTAAGACGGTGAACGTGGAGCTCGAGAAAATGCGTGGAAGAAATTTAAGAAAACGATTACGCTCGAATATTCCTGCACCTAAGAACGGAAGCGTGACCGTTTTACGGAACATATTAAAGTCTCTTTTTTAACCGCCTACCCTGAGTTCCACTTGATAGAATTATAATTTAATTATAACTCTGAGTTTACAATGATGCAAACGAGGGTAAACTATGTCCGAGGAAAAATGGCCAAGTATATACCCACGCTACTGTATTACTAAAAAGGTATTTCGTACACGCTGAAGTTTAGTTTCGTTTTATATCGGATCGAATCGTAACCGACGACGACGATTACCTCGAGAATGAACAAAAAATAAATCGTTTAAATTTAAAAGGGTGAGAAAATGGAGCGGTGTTCGGGTGAACCATAGACGAGCGAAATTAGCAATGGGATCGAATCGCCTCTGCGAAATAGAACTACCCTTATCCATTTTATCCGAGCTCTGTGCAACGCGACGGGACGCGACGCGGTTCGCGTGACCAAAGAGGCAATATGTACTCGACGCACCATCCATTATGCGGGCCCATTATTCAAATCTCCGACCACCAGACCGCTACGCTACAAATATCATTACCGCGCTCCTCTTTCGCTTTCGATCCGGATCGCTTACCTCTTTCACTGGCAGGACGCTTCCGCGTGGTCCAACTCGACCGTACCCTCTTATTACGATTTCAGTCGGAAACGAATGACATTATCTTTCTTGCAACAAATCAGAAGATAAACGACATTCGCCGCATTCGCAACTCCCGGCGAAGGACATTCGATCGACAAAGAACAGGAATACACGTCGTCAGAATAACATCGATCAAAACTACTTTCGCGGGGTCAAAGGTCACGTCGTTCAAGCGAAGAAAGCAAATAAAATTGCGCAATGATGCCACGTATCGGTACGTCGCATCACTTTTTACGTACGTCGAACACCACTTACGTACATCGACTGATACTAACCATAAAACGGTGACTGTAGATTGTAATTAAATTAATTAGAGTAATTATATTACACTGTACACACGGTGAGCTACCAGCGTACGCGTTTTCAATTTCGAGGCTACACGAACGACGAATTAAGCACCGGCATTAAGTAGGACCTGACTGCCCGCTAATGGCCACCACGAATGAAACTAAAGAAACGCAAGTGGCCTCGTTGGATAATCAGCGATCGTGCATCGTTGGATAATCAGCGATGGTTAGTCACACTCGACGATGATCAGCTTAGATATGCCTACGCGCCAAGTGCCACCGAGGACAGATTACTAAGTATGAAAAACTACTATTACTCTTCTCGGTGCAAATGCCATAAGCCAACTCACGCATCCTTCTCCACTCTCTGACTCCACACACAGACACATACAGACTCTCATCTCTATATTGCAACCGCAGATAGATTTTTTTATCAGTATTGAAAAAAATCACAAAATAAATCTTGTAAGCTTTGTAGAATCCCGACCGTTCAAAAAATTCGGACGGGAAATAGCATACAAGTATAATATAAATATAAAAATTCTATAGAATTTATGCTCGGCGAACTATGAACCAGTGCGGTTAGCATTAATGGATTTATCCATATCCGACGGTTTATTTTTCTCTAGCGCAAACAAAATCGAACGGAAAACTCTCAGTCTACTCTTTTCCTTCAACTATCGCGAATTCCTGATCGATGATTAAACAATGAGATGGTGCCGGGTAAATAGTCAGAAGTTGGACGAATGTGATTTTTGTCCGTTCATTTTTATCGCGAAGACGACACTGCTGGTTATACAACGTAAGTAGACGCGTTTAATGCAAGTTTAAGCACGATAGGATTAAAGAGGAAACAGGCTTAAATAAACAGAGCTTTCCTTTCTTTCCGTTCCGTTCCATACTCCTTTCGTTTAACGAAAATTATCATCCGCCTCGTTATCCATTCTGCGAAATAAAACTCGCTTTTATCCCAGAGTAAACTCTCAATAGACGGAGAGAAATATAGCGGTACCTTTAATAATCTATTCGTACATCGAGAGGAGATTAAGAGCTTTCCTTCGAGGTAGAATCGAGAAGGAAGGAACGGTAGAAGGTACGAGACGCGCGCGCGCGCGGAGAGCTACGATGAAAGGTTCCGGAAGAGAGATCGGACGTACAATTGTCTCGTTGTGGAAACTCGAATAGATTTTCACAACGGAAAATTAAGTGGATATCCGATTAAATCTCTTGCTCAAGCCGCGAGTATTACACGGAAACGAACGATTCGTTGACGCTCGATGGTCGTACGGAGAGCGATCAACGACAAATAATTTTTGGTTTAGACATGTACGAAGGAGACTCTTACACCGTGAGATATTCGCTTCGTCCAAAAGCGAATACGCAAGAACGGTCTCCGATTCGATTATTTATTTCCTCGTAAATAATAATGGACCAACGACGGGCCGCCGGCACAAGCAG